TTTTAAAGTTTATTCCTTGTATCGTGACCCATACATGGATTTCTCTAAGCCCCGGATGTCCACTCCCTAGAACCCCCCTGATCGCAGATGTAAAATATATTTTTAGAAATTTGAAAGGTAATTGCCAGATGTTTTACTGCGTCACATGGCAACCAACAATTTATTAAATATTACAAAATATTGTAACTTCAAAGTTTTCCTCTGACTGCAGTCACAGCTGTAGAAATAAGTTGCAGCAGTGTAATTCACACAATTCACCACAGGAGGGCGACTGGCTAAGTTTCTTGCTATAAAGTTTTAGTGCTTAACTTTTTGTGTTCAAAATGTTCAAAGGTTATATAGTGAGCGAGTACATGCATCAGTTGTCCAAATCGTGCTTTGTCTTATCCTGAATCACTGTGGTACACCTATAATAAGTGTTTATATTCGGACTATTTTATACTGGTTCTGGTCTTACCGCTGCGGAGGAGCACAGGACCTGCGTGACTCGTCATACATGTTTGGTTCAATATTAAATTATACTCTAACTTAACGTTACCTTTGGCTCGTGGAGAGAATAATATTCATTTGAACTTTTTTCATTTCACTTGAACACACACCAGAATTCTTGCCGAGTCGATTTATCTATTTCGCTGACTCAAATCTTTAAATGTTTATGGGTAAAATGACAGCAGTGTAATTCACACAGTTCACCACAGGAGGGCGATAAAACTCCATTTTAAAGAATATCGCAGCATAGGGGTGGGCTAATGGGGGCTGTTTTCAGTAAAGCCCCGAATGTTTTTTATTCCCATGCATTGTACACACCATCACTGAGAGAATTTAATTAATTAAATGTATATTTCTCGACTCTCGCATCGTAGCGTCCGTCAACATACGCATTGTCATTCACAACCGACAAGAACCGCCCATTCAGGCTAGTGCTTCTGACTGACATGTAAACTGGCCAACCATCGATGAGAAGCAACGCGTCTGTACGATCCAGCCAATGAAATTAAATATTTTGGAGCCAGGTGTTTGTTGATGATGTGTAAGTTAGTAATGAATGAGTAAAATTGATACAACAGCTTCAGCAGGTAACTTCTAATCATAGTATTAGATTTCATTCTTTAGATTGTCAGATATGCTACATTTTGATCGTTTAACACTTTGTGCAGCACAGTCAATAGGACGTGCACGTGCGCGCGCGCGCACACGCATTTTAAGAGCGTTATATGTTTGGTCAGCATGGCCAAACGTAAAGAAAATATTTCGCTAACGAAAATGGTTTCAAACAAAGCATCACAGTGTTTATTAATTGAATTTGCTTGTAAACGATTCACTGACCGCCATTCAAAATCATTTATACTTTTTTCCTAAATGAATCATCTGATTTGAACGAATCGATCGAACGAAGTACCATTTTCATTTTTTCAATATTTCATATTTCTGTATTCCAAATTTGATATTTGATCCATCAGTCTCACACCATTATTTATGCAAATTGTAAGTGCTGTGTAAAATGCATCTACAAGTGCTCCTTCAAAAATATAAGTGTAGACCCATGTGTTTTAATTATAGGCCTACTTGGCTTTTAGCCTTTCTGTTTGTATTATGTATAAAGTAAAATGTAATGTGTAAAATGTAACGTGTGCTTGGAGAATGGGTTAAGATTTTTTTTTTGTTATTATAGAGATTCTTTAGTCACCTCTTTTTATATATTCTCACAAAAATCATGTTGTTAAATAAATGCTATTTATTAAAACAATAATAGAGCTGAGCTTGCTATTTTACCATGTCAGGAAAGAAGAGGATGTGTGACATTGTGATTTAAAAAAAAAAAAAAAAAAAAAAAAAAAAATTATTTAAAGTTTATTCCTTGTATCGTGACCCATACATGGATTTCTCTAAGCCCCGGATGTCCACTCACCCTAGAACCGCCCCTGATCGCAGATATAAAATATATTTATAGAAAATTTGAAAGGTAATTGCCAGATGTTTTACTGCGTCACATGGCAACCAACAATTTATTAAATATTACAAAATATTGTAACTCAAAGTTTTCCTCTGACTGCAGTCACAGCTGTAGAAATAAGTTGCAGCAGTGTAATTCACACAATTCACCACAGGAGGGCGACTGGCTAAGTTGTCTTGTTATAAAGTTTTAGTGCTTAACTTTTTGTGTTCAAAATGTTCAAAGGTTATATAGTGAGCGAGTACATGCATCAGTTGTCCAAATCGTGCTTTGTCTTATCCTGAATCACTGTGGTACACCTATAATAAGTGTTTATATTCGGACTATTTTATACTGGTTCTGGTCTTACCGCTGCGGAGGAGCACAGGACCTGCGTGACTCGTCATACATGTTTGGTTCAATATTAAATTATACTCTAACTTAACGTTACCTTTGGCTCGTGGAGAGAATAATATTCATTTGAACTTTTTTCATTTCACTTGAACACACACCAGAATTCTTGCCGAGTCGATTTATCTATTTCGCTGACTCAAATCTTTAAATGTTTATGGGTAAAATGACAGCAGTGTAATTCACACAGTTCACCACAGGAGGGCGATAAAACTCCATTTTAAAGAATATCGCAGCATAGGGGTGGGCTAATGGGGGCTGTTTTCAGTAAAGCCCCGAATGTTTTTTATTCCCATGCATTGTACACACCATCACTGAGAGAATTTAATTAATTAAATGTATATTTCTCGACTCTCGCATCGTAGCGTCCGTCAACATACGCATTGTCATTCACAACCGACAAGAACCGCCCA